CCCACCAAGTACCCCGGGTGTAGGTCTGTGTGGGATGGCCCACCATCCTGATGGCCCCCTCCACCCCTCCAAGGAACCCCAGTCACAGTTTCCCAAAACTGGCTCCTGAGCACAACAGGCCATGAAGTTTGTCACATAGGGATGCCTGTCAGAGACCACACTGTCTATTCTCCTCTAAAACCAAGGCCCTAAAACCTTGCAGGAAAGGTGCTCTGTCAGCACTGTTTAACCCAGCTGGTCCCAAATTTGACTGTAAAACCCTTGTTTGACACCCACAAACTTCAATTCCACAGAGCATGGTCCGTGACAGCCAGGATGCTAACCAGAGGGCCAGAGAGCTCCCCCCAGCACGGAGAAGGCTCTGAGTGAAGTTAGGTCAACTCCTAACACCTCTGTATCACACATCAGCTCAGCTCCATGTGTCAGAGTGTGAATGGGGCTCACTGACTTGCCAGGTTCACCTGGGCCAACACAGGGACCCTGGCTTCTGCCTGCGTGGCACCTCCCCAAGGCCAATTCAGAAGGCTGCCACAACAGCCTCTGCTTCTTGGCTCCACCTTCTGGATCTGGCTGCCCTGGGAACTGCTGTTAGGATCCATGGGCCATCTCCATCAGATGGGACACAGCTGAGGGGCAGTACCATATCCTCCCACAGCCACGGGCCCATGCAGAGGCGGGGAAGATCATCAGGTGACACTCAGGAGGCAAGGCTAGAGGCTGCAGTGAAGAGGCAGGAGAGAGGTGGCTTCACAGACCTGCTGCACAGATGGCCATCCTCAGATGAGATCCTGGCCATAGCAGGAAGCAGATTCCACTCACTGCATCACCTACCTGATGTTTGTGAAAGGATCCAGAGATGCTGGGAGGGGACCGCCATCTCTTGCATCCACCTACATGGGTGCGGGTGGTGTGAGAGGCCAAGGCAGGTTTGGATAAATAAATTCTGGTGCATTCTCAGAAAAGGATTCCACATACACCAGTAAAGCATGCTGCACAAGAATAGTTCCCAACGTGCAAAATGTTTAAAATACAGTGACAAAAGAAGAAACTGCAGCACAAAACACCCGGTGTGGTGGGACCCAGCCAGGCCCACGCGCTCTGGGGATGGTGCAGGAAGCTTGGGGCAGGGGGGACGGAAAGACCCTGCCCACCCCCTGGGTGGGCTTCCACTGATGGCTTTGTGACTGCCTGTCCTTTAAACTATTTAACCGTGGAAACCATGAGGCAAGGATCACTCCCTTTATTTGCCTGGCTTAGAGTAGGGTCTGCAGGCAGGGGATGAACGAAAGAGTGAACTGTGGGGGGTGAGCAAACACATTATCTGAGGTCCAGCCTTGTGGAGGGCACTGGTGACCTTGGCCAGGGTGTGAGTGCAGCCAGACCACAGAGCAGGGACACTGAGGGCTGCAGAGGGTGCTAGGCCCTGAGAGAGCACATTGTGGCTAGAAAGGCAGGTGTGGCTGTCAGGCTGGTTTTTGGGGTTCAGGCCCTGGATAGCCACAGAGGTTGGGCAGCTCTGCCTGGGGACAGGGGTCAGAAATCGGGGCTAATGAGGCTGGGTGTGGGGTAGCACTAACCAGACATAGCTAAGAGCCTCCGTAAACCTGTGACAGGGCCAGGGCCAGGGTCTCCATTTCGTGCACACTCACACTTGTCCAACTCCTTCCTTTTCCTGACCCCTTTTTCAGATGTACAGTCTGAGTCCCTGAGGAGATTTTCCGGGCCACAGGCTCAGGACTGCAGGAGGGCTTCCTCTGCCTCTTCTCCTGTCCCGTCCTTGCCAGCTGGGCCCCTCCTGGTGCTGTGCCGGCTGCCACAGACGTCCATACCACAAAACCAGAGGATGGAGTGATTGAACTGTTAGGTCCATGGGCAGCAGAGAGAGTGTGAAGCCAGGGCTGGGACAGTGGAGAGATGAACGGCCCCATAAGCCCTACCACTCATGGACAATTTGTCACTTACAGCAAGCAAAAGCAACAAATTGTGGACCCCTCTATAGGCCTGGCCACAAGCCAGCCCCCAGCCTCCTGGGACGGTAGGACCTTCCCCCACCTACCAGGCCCGCAGCCCAGCCTGGTGCGTGGGGATCCTCTACACACCCTCTACAAGCCCTCTTGCTTGTTGACTCCTTCTGAGCTGGACAGCTCTCCCTCCTCATTCTCCTCAGCTCCCACTCCAAGGCCACAGATGGCCAGTCCTGACTGAAGGATCCTCAGACTATAGAAACTGAGGCTCATGGGTCCTGCAGGCTCCTGGCTGATGAGGCTCAGAGTGGGGGTGCTGCCCAGCTGGGGAATCATCTTCCCCAGTGCCTTCTTTCCCTCTCTGTCAACCACCCCTCCCACCACCCCCCACTCACCTGGGTTCTTCAGGGAATAATCTTTCATTGCCTCATCTTTGAATGGGGAGGAAGAAGGGGTCCCAGTTGGCTGGTAGGGCAAGGGTTCTAGGAGGGTCTCTGCTGATTGGGGGTTGGGAGGAGGTATGTGGGGAATTTTGAAGGCAGAAGCATAAAGGTTCTACACTCAGGGAGCTGGGCATAGTGGTGCACACCTGTAATCTCAGCACTGAGGAGGCTGAGGAGAATGACTGTGAGTTTGAGGCCAGCCTAGTGAGATCCTGTCTCAAAACAAAAACAAAACTCCTTGGGAAAGCTGGGCAAATGCTCCTGGGCATCAGACTTGTGTCACCAACGACCTCTCATTACTGGCCCATATCACAGCTAAGGAAGACTGAGGCACAGAAAAATGACCTGTCACACCCAAGGTCAAACTGGCAATGAGTCCATGCTGGGCTGCACCCAAATCCAAGCCATTATTCTTCTGCCATGCCACACCCAGGAGCTAGGCCCTGTGAACTCTCCTCTGGGATGGTGTCTGGATGCTGACCACTACTAGCTGAGTCCTTGCCGTGGGAGCTCACTGCTTCCTCACCTTGGCTGGAGCAAGACATGAGATGGTACCTGCTTTATAGATGAGAAAACTGAGGCCCAAAGCTTAGTAAAGGGGAGCGGCCAGCTCACTGCTCACCTCCCCCACGTCCTACAAGGCCACTTTCTACATTGTACAGATAAGAACACTGGTCGTAGTTGAGAGGGCAGACGGTGTGGTCCTGATTCTTTGAGCCCCAGTGCAGGGTCCTCCTCACCAGAATCCTTACTGGTCGGTCACCTGGCACCAGCACGGCATCCATCCCCTCAACACCCGCCCCAACACCTGAGGCAGGTAAGACCAGCATGGAACAAACCCCACACGTGACAGTATCCACCACTAACAAATTGAAGTGCTGAAGGCCGGGCCTTTCGGAGGTCATGCTGGGTTGGTTGCCCTAGTTGGTGTGGAGCTGTAGCTGCAGTCAAGAGCACCCAGGGTCAGACCCATTTCCTCACGGTGTTGACTTCAAGGTTTGAAATAGGTCCTCCCTGCCCAGGTGGTTTCCAGCCCACCACTGGCCATCATTGCTCCAGCACTGGCGGGTGGAAAAGTGGCTGGGAGACCCTGCACCTCACAGCTTGGGATGGGGACACTAAACAAACCCCTAAAACATATTCCCAGGGCCTCTGCTCCAGATTTGGGCAGAACGTGGACACAGCCCTTTCTGGGCACACAGGGGTATTCACACCCAGAGGCAAATCGACACAAGCGGGTATGCTCACAGGCACACAGTCATGTGCGCAGACACACATATGCAGATGCATATTGTGTTTTACACACTCACACACACAGACGCACGCGCACGCAGGCAAACGCGCAAGCACGCAACGAGTGCACTCAAGGGGCTGTGAAGGGGAGACTCCCAGGACACACAGAAGGAGATGGGGCGGAGGGTTTCTCACCCCTCTGTCTACGGGTCTAGGCTGCCCAGAGCCTCCCTTCCAAAAAAATGAGCATGTGGGCGTGAGAGTGGGTCCCTTAGAGGACCCTGCATGTGCCAAGCATGGAGATCACAACAGGCGTGCTGTGTGCACGCATGTGTGGACGTGGGTGTGCAGGCAGGGGTGAGGACATGGATATGCACCCTCAGAGTCTGTGTGTGCACCCACAGTGTCTGTGCATGTGCACACTGGAGCAGGCTTGGAATGCCTGTGCACGCGAGGTGTGCAAGTGTGCAGCCCACATAGACACGTGCACGTGCAAAGAAACGTGTGTGCAGCCTGCGGCACCATGGACATCAGCAGGGCAGCTGGGGTGGGCACCTGGGATAGGCAGTGTACCCACCCCAGATCCTCCAGGCGAGGTATGCCCAACCCACACGAAGCCCACCCTCTCTTGCTCCCACTGCGGGGACTTCGCACCCGATGGGGGGAGGGGCCCTAAAGGATTGCCAGGAAAGGCGTACTGCGAGCCCCAATGCCCGAGCCCCAATGCCCCTCGACTGAGCCCTGCAGGGGACCTCAGGTTGCAGATGGTGGGGGGCGAGGGTGAAGAGCATTGCTGCCTCGTCTCATTCCCAGCCCTGGGGCGGGGGGCAGCGCTGGGACTGCCCTGTCCCCCACGCCCTCCACTGATGCCAACGCCCCCGTTCATCTCTATTGAGTCTGACCCCCCCCCCCGAGAAACCGGAAGATCTGAGGTGAGACGACGGGGTGGACGAGATACCCCCACCTCGGCTGGATACCCACGTTTCTGCAAACCCCGCTCATTAACCCCTTCGCGGCCCCGGCGCTCCGAGGCCGGACCCCGCCCTTCCAGCCCGCAGCCTCCCCGCCCGCCCGGGTCCAGCATCTGGGACCCCCAGCCCTCTGCCCCGGGCTCCGCCGTCGCCGTCAACTTTCCCGGAAAGCGCAACTTTTCCTGCTGCCGCCGGCTCCGCCCTCCCGGGGACCGGGCGCCGGCGGCCCGAGCCTGGTGTGGCACTGCGGTGGCCCTCCCGGCAGCCCGGCGACCCTTCCCCCTGCTTCGGCAGCCCGAGACGTGTCCTACACCTCCGGGGAGGGGGCGAGTCGCCCCCCTCCCGTGTCCCCACTTGCAGCCGGGCTCAGGCGCTCCGCGGACACTCACCTCCGGCAGACGCCCTCTTCATCTTAGGGGTCGGGCAGGGCGCGTCAGGGACTGAAAGTCGCTTCGGGGCGGGCGCCCGTCTCCCCGCGGCCGGGTCCGCATCCAGGCGCCGCCGCTCCGGCCCGGTCCCGGCCCGGCCGCGGGACGAGGCTCGGCGCGCTCCGCTTTGCCCGGCTGGGGCTTGGCTCGCGAGCCGCGGGCGCGCAGGGCGAGGGCGGCGGCGCGGACTGGCGGGGCGCTCGCGGCGCGGGCCGGGAGCGGATGAATGTTTTATGGGATCATGTGGTTTGACGCGCGAGGAATCCGCCCGGTCTCCCCGCCGGCCGGGGTGGGGCGGGGCCGGGGCGGGGCCTCGCGGAGGGCGGGGCGCTCACCTGAGCGCGCGCCCGGGCCGAGTGGAGAGGGTGGAGGGCGAGCCCGGATGGGGAGCATGGGCGGCGCGACCGGCCAGGGCGCGCAGGCCGGGCCGCAGGAGGCGCTCAGCCACCGGGTGCACCGGTGCCGCGCGGCCCCAGACAAAGGCGGCGCATTCCTGAAGAGGCGGCGGCCCCTGCAGGCGGTCGCGGGGATGGCGGCCCGGAACCGGTCGTGGGTGTGGGCTCGAGGGAGTGGCGGCCCAGTCTGGCCTGGTCCAGGAGCGGGAAAGACCTTTGTTCCGACTCCCGGGGATGGTAGGACTTCATCAAGCGCCCGCGTAGCCTGCCCCCTCCTTACCCCACTAAATCCAGGACTCCCGCCCCTAGAAACCCTTGCTGCAGGATTGCTCCCGCGATTCCGTAAGAAAACTGAGATACAAAGCTTAAGGGAATGCTGGAACCCCTAACCATGTTTGTGGCCTTCTCTGCACCATCCCAGAAAGGGAACTTGGGCCTGGTCCTGCCTCTGCCTCTGCCTCTGCAGGTGCCCCTTCATTTCTTCCCTCCTTGGAATGGGGGTGGGGGGGGTCTAAACTCTGAAGAGTCCTCCCGCCAGCCCCACTCTCCATCAAGTCAGCCCCAGAAAACTGATGATATTCTTCCCACATACACACATAGGCGTCCCATCTCCAGCTCCTGCTTGGGGGAATCTGCCTGGGCACACAGATGAGCTCCTGGGAGGATCCTGTGATCTTCAGCAGTCTGCTGGGCCAGTGGCTGTAGGCTGCCCTGCAGTCCAGGGAGCCCTATCAGCCAGGCCTGGGTCTTCCCCAGCCCTCTGGGCCTTAGCCTGTTGCAGCCCACTGCACAGGTGACAGGATGGTGTGAGTCGAAGCCAGCCAAGTCAGTCTGCCAGACTTTGCCTAGGGCAGGACCCAGGCCCCTCTTTGCAGCTGAAGAATCCTGGCTGAGGTTATGGTGGTCCCCTGGGAGCCTGATCAGTGGTGCTGTATGAAGCAGAGAGACCTGGTGACTGGATGACTTAGTACGCTCTGCCTCCTCCAGCCCCGGTCCCAAGACCTCAGAGTGTGGGGGTTCCCTGGAGAAGCTTATGACCTACCTTCCTCACCAGGGAAAGCCAGGACCTCCCAGAGTCCCAGTGCACACAAACTGGCAGGCAGCCTCATGGGGTGGGGACTAGTGACCATGCCTATTATGGGCTGGCCCTCTTGCCTGATGTGCAGGCTGCCCTGTCCAGACCTTCCCTGGCTGCTGGCTCTGTAGCTCTGACCACTCCCCTGCCTGCTTTGTTCCTGTTGCCTTTGGATTTCCAGGTCACTGTGAAGTGCATTCAATTCCCAGCCACGTGGGAGATGAGATGGATCCCAGACACCCCCAGTGTCTCTGTCTCTTGCCTCCCAAGGGGCAGGGTGGGGGGCATTCACAGACATCTTCCCAGTGGGTACTGGTCACTGAATGCCACCAGCATAGCCTCTGCAGTGGCTCAGTGAATCTTCCTCCTACCACATGAGATTTGTGAACCCTGTACTGATGGAGAACACAAGGCCAAGTTCATGGAACCTGCATGGGTGGCTTTAATTATCCACTATCCTGGGCTGGCCACCATGGCTAAAGACAGTGACTCCACCCTTCATAGGTTCAAAGCTTCCCCCACACCCCTGGCAGCAGGTGGGGCTTGGGGTAGATGTGGGAGGGAACAGGGAGCCAGTGCTACTATGGAGGCTTCTGGCACCAGAACTCTCTCTGGCCGCCAAGCCCAGTTGTTCCTGGCAATTCTGGGCTGGGGCTTGGGCCCCCTGCCTGCCCACAGGTCTGTGTGGTGGAAGCAGGGTCAGGCCTGCAATGGTTGTGGGCTAAGGGCAGTTTTCCTGTATCCATACTCCAGTCAGCATCTTACCCAGCACCCTTCTGGCTCCTGGGTATGGGTGAAGTGGGTGAGGCCAAGGAAGCTGAGTAGGGCTGGGTAACTGGTCATTCTGCCTGCAGGAGGACACAGCTCACTTCTAGGGCTGGGAATGTGGGAGGGTTTGATGAGGCATATTTATCAGGACGTCAGCAGGTGCTGGGCAGCATGGGGGATGGCGTGCGCCCCTGGCAGCAGCCACAGTGCCATTACCATGCAGGGCCCCAGGAACAAGGGAGGGAGGGCAACTGACAGCTCACGCAGGCCAGTGGGGAGAGCTTGACAGCAGCTCAGCCAACCCTAGGAGGCGACCCCTGGGGGAGCAACCAGAGACCTGGTGGGGGGAGCCTGGCCATGTACTGTTTCCTTTGATGAAATCTACACCGATCAGTTTCTGGGAAGCCCAGCAGGGTTGCTTGGATGACAGACCATTTGGACTGCATGACTCTGAGTTCTCTGGACACATGGCCCTGGGGATCAGGAGAGGGCACGGGCTGGAGCCTCAGGGCTGAAGACACCTGTCATGCCCTGTCTAGACTATACCACATGGGCATCTGCCTGAATTGCATAGAGCCTCAGAGCTACCACACATAGAGCGTGGCCTCTTCCTTGCTTGTCCAGACCCCACCCCCTTAAGTGAGGCCTGGTACTGACACAAAGCTGCCTTACCTCCCGTTCCTATCCCAAAACTCAGCTCAGTGACCAATATGTTAGGCATGAAAGGGCCTTGCCTGGCTGTGTGACCTCAGTCCAGTCCCTTGGCTTCTCTGAGCTCAGTAAACTATATGGACAAGGAAGATGTTAATGCCTCTAGACAAGGTCAGCAGGTCACTGTCCCTTCTTTGTATACTTCTCCTGTCCCCTGAGAGGACCATGTGGGACCCTAACAAGGAGTACAGGGTTTTAACTCAAACCTCTAGGTCCATTCATAGAATCCAGCTTAGAGTAAAAAGGCTCTTCAGTGTGGCCAGCCTGGGCTGACAGGGACATGATTCAGCCTCTGTAGGAGGTCATCATTTTTAAGGGCTCTCAGAGCTTATTTTCTTCTTGGAGAGACAGGCCTGCCATGGCTTTGCTTGGACATCCCCATGGGGTGCCCACGGGCCTCCAGGCCCTTGGTGCTTCCCCCTCAAGGAAGGGGTGCAGAAGGGAGGGAACTTGGTCTTTGTTGCACAAAATCTGGGCCACTCTGGGACAACGCAAGGAGAGATCAGGAAGGAAGCTCGAAGGTCATTCAGCAAACGTGTGCCTGCAGCCCAAGTGTGCCAATGTGACCAACCCGAGTGGGCGGCTGGGGATGTGATCTCAGTGCCAGGGAGCTGGGGGGCGCCAGCCTGCCATCTGCTCTCACCATGGAGAGTGGCTGTGTGCCCAAGACCTGAGAGGACTCTGTGCCAGGCCTGCTAAGTGCATGGTCCCGTGGGTCCTGTGACAGAGACACCACTATCACCACCCATTTTATAGATAGGACATAGAGGTCCCGGGAGTTTAGACAGATTAACATTCTGGAAGCCCCACTCTGAACACCCATAACCTCTGCTCCCTGCAGGAGCCTCTAATCATCCTCCCACTTTGGGGCTGCAGAGGGTGTCCTGGCCTTCTGCCATCATCAGCTCTGTCCCCCACCTGAGTCCCTTTTCCCCGGCTTTGCATATGAAGCCATAATTAATTAGTTTCTTCATCTCTTATTCATCAAAGCCACACACAGCAGCAACCGGGGCCAGTGCAGGGAAGGGGCTGACCATCTGACCCCTGGCATCATCCTGGACCTGCATGTTTCAAATGTTCTGACCTCTGCACCCAGCAAGGACCTCCTCCATAGGGTGCTATTCTGGACTCTGCTGTGTTAGGCACACTCCCTGCCAAGCCAAAGTCCCCTCCCACCTCTGGGAGGTTGCTGGGGGTCACAGAAGGTGTGTGTGTATTGATTGCATGGGTCAGTCTTCACCTGTGGCCTATCTTCAGGATAGGCCTGAGCGGGAGTGGGCAGGAGACTCAGGCCAGTTGGACACCAGTGGTGGCATCTGGACCCAGAGGCTGGGGTTCTTTCCTCTGGCTCCCAGAGGTAGTGGGGAGTCCCCATGGCATCCAGACCTTAGGATGAGCATGGGTCACTCTGGTGGTCACTGGCAGATAGGCTCAAGGTCTTCTTCTAGAGAGGGTTGTTGCATTGCTGGCCTCTGGGTGGGCACAGCTAACCTGGGCCAAGGCTGGATGGATCTGATGCTGTGGGTACCTGAGGGCCAAAAGTCTGGTACAGAGACAGAGCTCTGGAAAGCAGGGTCCCTGGGTTGTTCCCAAGGCATCAATGTGGCTTTGGGCCCTTCCCCCTGGCCCTGCAGGGAATACGGATGTCTCCATAGCCACCCACTTGGAAGTGACAGCTAAAGTGGCAGCCACTGTTCACACCAGAAACTCAGCAGGCAGTCAAAACTGGGTGTGTGGTGACGGGAGGGACACCTTTTGAGGAATCCCATGAGCTTCTGATGGGGTGAAGAAGGCATGCCTAGTGGTGGCTGGACAGGAGTGGAGGGTGTTTTAGCTTTCTTGAGCCCTCACTGAGGAGAATCTGCTGGGCCAACTCAACTCATTTTAACCAAACCACTGGCCTGGGATCCCCCATTGGCCAGTCTATAGCTTTGCTCTTCCATAGGCGGGGTTCCAGAGCTTCCTGCCTGAGCTGCCATGACCCATGGAGCATACAAATTGCTCCATTTCAAGACGGAGAGGCCAAAAGTTGGCTTTAAAGTGACCTGCTAAGAACACAGAAGGGCCAGTCAGACTCAAAGCTCAGTGGTCTCACCCAAGGGGCACTATGGAGAGCCCTCACCTTTCTTCCCTCATCACCTTTGGCTGCTCGCTTTCTCAGTCATTTAGTTACCCAATAACACTCTGAGAGGCCAGATTCAGATGTTCCCCCACAACTCTGCTGGACCCTGATTATCCTCATCCCTACAAGGTACAAATGGG